CCATCCGCTCCAAACAATGAGCTGCCTCTCAAGACACATGCTGTTAATGGCCAGAATCAGCACAAGGTTTTGAGTCCAGAACAGGTTCACAATTTGAAGGGGGATGTGAGTCAAGCACTGGCTGAACTGAAACAAACAAAGAAGGAGAACCGTTTCAAAGCACTTGCCGAAGAAACACAGGAGCAACCAAAGCAGGAGGCATCAGCAAGCGCAGCAAAACCTAAGGGTAAGGCTAAGGTTCCCAAGGAAAGGAAGCCTAGAGGTGCAGCTGCCAGGGAAGCAGCACAAAGGCTTTTAGATAGCTTGGCCACACCTGCACCATCTGGAGCACCTGAAAAGGGAACCGGCAAAAGGAAGTTGACGTTTGAGAGTGAACAGGGTCAGGATTCCAGGGTGAGCAAGAAGATCAATACCCCCAAGAAGAAGGCTAGGGCCAAAACCATGAAGAAGGCCAGGAGTTGAAGTGTTTACAGTACAGGGCATGCAGTTGTTTGTGTTTGTTTGTGCATTCATTCGTCATCCCAAATGTTTATGTTCCTTGACCCCTGAGCCTGCTGCTACTCGAAAGCCCAAAGAGATCCCGCCAACCCAGGAGCCCAAATGGTAAGCTCAAATGGTCATTTCATTTGACAAACAAACAGTAAGAATTACATGACTTGCAGTCTGCAAAAGGTTTCCTCATGTTTTTTTCCACTTGGAATCTGATTGTCTTGATTGAGGAGTCCCCAGTCGAAGTCGAGGACGTCGAGGACGAGGCCTTGGATGGCGAAGAAGTCCTCTCCGAGGAGCTTGCCGAGGCCGATGATGCTTCAGAGCTCGGTGGCGGCAAGGCTGAAGTCCTCAAGACGGACGGGGCTGATGATATGCGTGGTGCCTATTGGGCTTACATCCATGAACAGCAGAAGAAGTTGAAGAAGGAATTTCCGGAGCTAAGCGGCAAAGAGATCTTGAAGAAAGCTCGTGAAGGGAAACTCTGCTGCAAACAATAGCCTGTCTTTGTTTCGAAAGACAAAAAACTCAACCAACTGTGAACAAACAACTGGACAGAGCCCCTTTGTGACAGTGTCATTGTCCCATGAAGTCCCTGAAGTTCTCACAGAAGAGGTCTCACCTGAAAAACATCAGAAACATGAAGAGACAATTTTTTGGGGTTATAAGAGTTTCTTCCTATCTCAGGTGGCAAACCTGCGAGACTCGCATGGCTTCAGTGAGCAAGATGTCCAATAGTGAGAGGAGCCGTCGTCGCACCAAGTGAGGTCCTACCAAGTTCCCAAAGAAACAGCTGGGAATAAATTTTGCAGCCTGAAATGTTTGGCCAAGAGTGCTGTGCTTTGCAGTATTCTGGGAGATGGTTTCATCAATGTTCCAGAACCAAATGCTTGTTGAACACTCCATCTTGGTTAGTTTAGATGCGGTACCTGCTTTGCATAGCAGTATGCTGTACCTGGGCATGGGTCAGGCCAAGGCGAGCTCAGTGTCCGCAATTCGGGGCTACTGTTCAACAGAAGGTTGGATAGTATATATATGGGACGCCGGACACCTAGACGTTCGCAGTGGCCAAGAAAAGAGGTGCTGTCAAACAGTATCTCGTCAACTGATATGTCAATGGTCAACAGTTCATTGTCAAAACACCCCCAAACCAATGTTAGGGTTCATTGAACTTACCAATCCAATGGCAGTCAAGCCACTACCAAAACTTAAATCTAAGGTTCATTGACAGGATAACTCTAGCCCCCACATCAATCTGATGGCAGGCGATCCCTTGGCATTCACTGTCCCTTGCCGCTGGGAGTCTGACAGTGACCAGGTTGTGTTGGAGATGGCCGCCGAAGGCTCGAAGAGCACAACCGATGCGTCGCCCTGTTCAATCAGGGCATTGCTGCATGAGCTGGAGGAGGCTAATGTGGTTGATACCCAAATCCACTGTCATGAATGTGACAGACCAGGGCCAAAAGACGAGACCAAGTCAGGCCATCCCATGCTGCATTGCATGATCCATTGCAGGTTAGATTAATGACCCCATATCATATATTGAAATAATGTGTCCTTGTGCGAGGTAAGGACTACTTCATCATCAAACCCCAGAAGAATGTGCCTGTGTTTTCCTGGACACCTTCGCTTTCCAACCTGAAGTATTCCACAGCAGCAAGCGTTTTCGCTCGTGAGGTGCAGTGGTGAGTGCAGCATCCAAACAACACAATGTGAACCAATATGAACCAATCATGAACCTGGTGTCTCAGTTGAAACTGGCAGGATGTGAATGCAAGTCCTGTGCTGCATCGAGCATGGCGTGTGCAATACATGAAGGCTGAGAAGGATGCCATCATGTCTTTTTGGGCCACACAACAACTGATGTTGTTCATTGTTCTTTGGGAAAAATCTTCCTGCTGGCCTGCCATTCCTTGTCCAGGAGCTCATGCCAAGCAACTTGGCCATAGCTGGCTGGCCACAGGAGGAATGAGGCATGGGCCACCATTGGCTCTTGGTTGTGTGCATGTCACCTAGGAAAGCCTCCATACTTCCTGCCTGCCATCATTTTTTTGTTTTGTTTGCACGTCGCCAACCAAGGAAAACCGCTCTATTTTTTGCGCCAAGATATCTCGCTCGAAGCCAACGAAGTGTTACGCTTGGTCTAGTGAGTCTAGTGTGAATCCACACTTGAGTGTGGATGAGATTTTGCCAACGGATGCACTCCAATGGAGTGTGTGTGGGGGGTTTTTTGCAATAAGCAATAAGCTCAGCTTGGGGATTGACATGCAGGCACCTCAATTCCAAAGACCAGTTACTGCACTAGTCAGTTCAAATGGAACCTCCTGGTTTGATGCTGGGCCGTGCTTTGCAGTGGGAAGAACTGCATCAACAAAAGATGCATGTGAAAGAACATGATGCACCATCTAGCTAGCTGAAAGAGAAAGGGCGAGGATGTGCGAAGTGGCTGCTTGAATTTGTGTTTGGATCACCATGTGGCCACCTGACAAGGAAAGCTCTCTCCAAACAAATCTGGAGATCAAATAAAATGAATTAGGGATCAAATACAATGAAATCTACTTATATATATTATACAATATATATATATGATTATATATGCATGTAGTGCAGTGCAGTATTGCAGTGCTTTGAGAGGGTGGAATCCAGTGATATCCGGTGCCTTGTTCTGATCGTGGGTGCCATCTGTTTGGTCAGGCTTTCCAGTTGGCACAGTCCATCAAGAGGAAGGGCAAGTGAGAGCGCGGAGTCGGATTTCAGACGCCAAACGGCGCAGACCAGGATCTTCTTGGCCAAGCGACCAGGGAGTTTTCTCTTCCACAAACGGATCTCTTGCAAGGATCTCGACTGTTGATATATATATATATATCCGGAATTGAGAAGCTCATTACATTGTATACATCATTCATGTAGACTTGTTTCCACACGTTTTTTCTTTTGTTACATACCTATAGAAATCTAACAAACTACAAGCCACTGCCAATGCATGGGTATTGTGGGCTCATGCCATGGGTGAACTCGAGGGTGATAAGAAAAAAATCAGGGTCATAATGTTCAATATATGGGTGTGTATAAAAATAGGGAGACTCCCAGTTCGACCTGGCAAAAGGAACATACACCAAAACCATCCCAAACCCCATTGCTTGGGTGTCGGCCTATTAAACTACATGCCCATATATTGAAAGGGCACATGGTATCTTTGGTGCACATTTCCTCTACAATGAGGAATGTGTACCGTTACTTACAACCCCCTACGCCCTCAAAGAGTCAGGTTCGGTTATTTTTAGAGTGAAACCTGTGCGCGTGATGCCGCTGCTTTTGAGGTGATTCCCTGAGGCACCTTCAAAGCCGCAACAGGTTCTGAGCAGTCTGGAAAGAATAGTTAGGCCGGAAAGAGGAGGCAGGTCATACATGGGAGTACAATGAACCGGCAACATTTGTGTTCCCAGCTGCGGCCCAAGAGCTTGTGTTCCCCATGTGTCCTGCTTCCGGTACCCACAAAAGACAGGGAAAGGGCAGAAAATGAGGAGTTTTGAAGTCAGGTCGGGTCATTTGAAAAAGAGACGAGAGGGTGACTTTGCCTGTCCACCGAAAACCTTTGTTTGCCCAGCCTCGCCCAAAAGCCTGGCACTTGTTTTCTCAATTGCTTTCTGTCTCCTGCTCCTCGAGCACAATGAGGGGACCCTATATCTGACAAGAATGTTTCATTAAAATTATGTTGCTTTATTTTGTTTAGTTTCATTGGTGCAAGGTAAGGTAAAAATAGGTTGTCAGTGCTTAGCTCTCAAGTGGATCTTTTGTCCCACGGCTTGGCTCGACCGCTTCAAGTCTCAAAATGGATGACTTGGCACCCCCTGTCAAAGCTGCAAGATCATATCATGTATATATAAATTTTGTATCTTACGGAAGATTGGATGGGCTCATTGCACCCCAGCAGGTGCTCTTTGAAGGAGTTTTTAAGTGCCTCCCCTGGAGCACTACATCATCCATGTCCGGTTGGTGTTGGTCAGGGTGCACGCCAGCAACCTGGTTCAGCGTGTGCTACTAGATCTGGGTTGACAGTATAAGGGGTGCAGGTTTGTCACGACATGTGCGAAACAAATGAAAAAAGCACATGTGCTGGCTGAGAATTCCTGGAAGACCACTTGGCTCGATGCTGTCAGATGCTGCAAAGACAACACACCATGCATCGCCCGCTTCGTGCAAAAGCGGGCGAGCGGCTGGTTTGTGGTTTGAAGTCTGGCCATGCCTTTTGACATGAGCCAAACAAACACAGGTGGAGCCTGTGCAAATCCAGGCCAGTGCTGTGCAATGCAGCAGTCAGGCAGTCAGTATGTTTTTGCAAATCTACCCCCAATCTATATAGATCAATAGGCCAGTCCCATGACCAGTCCCATTAGTCATGTTTGGGAGAACTCAACTCAAACCCTCCATCCACTGAACACCGCCGTCCGGTCTCCCAGAATGGCCAAGGAAAGTCTCCACTCGCTGCATCGCCCTCACTCGCTGCCCAGGTGCGATATCAACTTCCCGCCCTGCCATGTCCTCAAACGACCACTGAGACGGGAGGAGAACCACTGAGACAGAAGACCGGAGAAGCCCGACCAGATGCGGAGACGAGCGGAGAACGCGAGCGAGCGGTTTCTGACGAGCGGAGAACGCGGAGCGTAACGCGTGGTCGACTTGATGCGGTGAGGGGACCAGTGAACCGGAGAGTGTGGGATCCCACCAACTCTGTGGCATTTTCACAGAACTGAGAGTAGACCTGTGGATGTTTGGAAGTGAATCATGGTGGACGTTTGCGGTCGTTGCTTTGGGAAGTGGATCTGAGGGGGTCATTGGAGTGGACGTTCGCAGGAAGGTCCGCTATTGTCTTCAGACCGACACGATATGACACGATGATTCAAAAGTTAAAAACATATAGCTCTGGATCATTATACATGTAAATGTAGACTCTTGAGATCTCTTGACTATTTAATATTTGGATTGAAAATACCATGAACACCTCTTCATACGGGGGTGATGTCCAGTGACCCGAAAAACATCTCCGAACGCGCTCGGACATGTCCTGTCCTGTCTCGATCGAGGCCTCGAAGCTACTGGTGGGGCAACGAGGAGACGCAGACGGTGCAGGACACTGATCCAATACATCCGACGTCTTCCGTCGTGAGTGGAGCAGCTGATGAGTGCATTCTACAAGAATTTACGTATGTTTAACATAATGTTGACATTAAATAAGTTTGCAAATAACGGAGTATAATAGAATCATATAAGTTGACATCCTATTTAAGATTATTTTGTGGAGGGTTTAGACATGTTTTTGGTCCTTCTGCTCGTCGGGAAAAAACACTGCTGCCAGGCACAGCACAGCCACCTCCACCAACCGCTCCTCCCTACCTTTGAGTACCCCCAAAAATATACATGCCAAAGGATTCCACCGCCAGAGCCACGCGCGTTCACGAGGAACGCCGGGGTCGCCTTGAGATCCTGTTGCAACAGCTTTGTGAACAGCTTGGGGGCCTCAGCTTGGGTGTTTCCCCTTTGTATCGGGCCTTTTGATTCTGTTGCGGCGCGGTTTCACAAACTGCGGGGTTTGCAGCGCCCAGGCATGTGATTGGAAGTCTTATATTATATATATATATATGTGTGTGTGTGTGTGTCCAAATGAGCAACCACTTTGTTGTTTTTTACTCATTCGTTGCTAAAGTTGTCTACGGCATGCTCTATTTGTTTGTCCAACATCAGTATTCGCTGGTGAACGAGATAGGGCCGATAGGGCCCCCACGTTATAGATAGCTTATATTTGAGCATTCAATGAATAAATGCTGCCGCTCACATGGTACAGTAAGTCTGAGTAAGTCCTACCATACTACCATCCACACCTTTTAGAAGCGGTGGATAGCAGTGGTATGTAATATTTCCTAGGACCAGAGTTGTTTGGACCAACGGCACTCGGAGAGGACGGCGTTCTTTCTATATTAACGTCTAAGGACTGCATATTTGCACTATGTTCTCAACCCAGAACGGGGGGGTGGAAGGCATATGTTTATTTTGCTCACTGACCCATCTTGGATCATTTTGGCAGTGATCTCTCTTTTTGTTTCAGGATGTTTCAAGACCATCCTTGAATATCCTTGACTTTTGTTGCAAACAATAGGACTTCTTGCACAGGGGCAGGGCCAGTATGGTGACCCATGATTGCCCCCTTGTTTTCTTACACCAAGGACGAAGGATCAAACCAAAGATAGTTGATTGGGGATGGACATAAGTTGACATGTTGGGTGACATCACCAACATCTCACTCAATGGTGTCAGAGAGAACCGACTGATTGTTGGACCCTTCTGAACCCACACGTTCCCTGGACTCGGATCAGACCGAGACCGAGACTCTTCGGATGAGGCCGGAGATCTTGTCTGATGGCGAGGAGCAGCTCATGCGCTTCTTGAACATGCCCAAGGTGAGGCACAGCAGCTTACCCGGCAGCTTACGGCCCCCGTGATTCCGTGATTGCATCTCACCCGACGAGTTCGATGACTCGGCGAGGGCTTTGAGCCCGGTTTTTCGGCTTGCCAAGTTTGGGTGACCTCGCGTCCAAATGCTTTGGGATTTGTTCGTGAGTTCTTTTTGGCTCTTTCAGAACATTCCTCACCTGTTTCCAGATCATACAGTGACAGACACTCCGCTCCTGGGTCCCCCGAAAAGCCCTCCATGGGGGTCCTCGGTCCCGACTGGGCCGGTACACCGGTGAACCTCGGCACGTAGCGACGCATGGCCGACGCATTCGCTGGCGGAGTGGCGCACGAAGATGGGAGTGTGCGGATACTCGCGCGGAGGTGCGGTGGGTTTTCGAACACTGGAATGATCAAGAATTTGGAATTCTTCAGGTCATGATGCTCCCACCTCCCGACCTGGAGGTGGACTACAGAGACAACGCATTGCAGGAGATATTTTGGATCCGTGATTTCCAGCTTCTTCACAGTGACCTCTTTGGAGTGCCTCCCAGTGACCTTGTACAAGCCCAAGCGACCTTAAACTGAGATATCAAGGTCGGTCACTTTGAAGAACAAGGTTCATGTTTATTCAGAGGATTTTTGGATTTAAGATATTTACTGTAAGTGGGTTTGCCTCGAGTCCGACTCGAGTCCCCACTGGGCCACGCATGTAAGTACTGACCCTAAAGAGGCGGACGTCACTTTTTTGGGGAGACGAAAAGTGCAAAAAGTGGGGAGCAACAAAACGGTCTGTTTCAGTTGAGGTGTTCTTTGGAAAGCGTGTTCTCCATGTTGCAACACTCTTTTTCGAGGTGCTCATCCTGTTTCGACATGAAGTAAGAATGCCGATACCAATCCTATATGAAGGATCCAGATGTTGTTCATTGTTGATCAAGATGTTTTGTGAAGCTCTAAGCTGGAACCCATCCAGATCGAAGCACCCAATAAGAGCTGCTCCATGGCGATCGACGACTGGACGAGCCGGCCGTGGGCCCTCTGATCGACTCGAGTGGGAGGCCGCTGCGGCGGCGATCCGCTTTGTGCTGCACACCTCCCAGCAGTGGCTGTCCGATGCTAAGAATTCGGGTGCTTCTATCAGAAGAAGGCATAGTCACTATAAAGAAACCTTCCGAAAGGCATGGTGCTTCTTTTGGGTGTCTTCTGATATAGTCTGCAGGTCGTTGGTTCTCACGTTGAAAGAAACCTTCTGTCGACTTCGATCCAGATGAGTCGGTCACCACTGTCCCTTCGGTGCCGTCTGACGCCTCGGACGGTCGAGTCGGTCATTGGAACAAGACGGGATCGCCCGTTGGTTCGATGCTTCGGGAAGCTTAGGACTGAAAGAGAAGCGTTTTGAAGAGGGAGATGAGGGAGGGAGAGATGTGTCCATGGCACTGTCCATGGCACTTTTTGTTTTTTGTGGGTCTCCTTTTTCTTGAACTGAATTGTACAGGATCCAACGCATCAAGCGCATCATGTTCATTTCTCCGGTCGTCTTCTTTGAACGCCAACCACGACTCGAAGAAGGACTGCGAGAGGACGTCCCTCGCAGGGTCCATTTGGGTGGACCACGCCGTGGTTGTTGAGTCATCTTCGGTCATCGCGCGGGCGGTAGGCCGTGCGTGGATCGATGTAGACCACACCGGTGAGAGGAGGTCGCATCAGGCAGCACAGGCAGCAAGCTTCCCCCATCTCTGGCAGTAGTGCCCTGTTGATGTGGCCCAACTGTAAAGTCTCCGCCTTTTTCGGTTACATGATTTGGTGTTGGACAGCCCTTTTTGAGATTGTGTCAACCAGTTAATACTAATGAGATCTAATGAGCAACCATGTTTTTCATTCTTTTAAAGAAGTCTATGGCATGTTTAGTAAACGAGATACATTTTTGACCTTTTTGGTATAGTTTGGACGAGATACTGTGACAGGACCGTAGACATGTCTAAATTGAGATAGGACCCCCGCACATAATTGATAGTTTGATCACTACCCCCTTCCCCCTGGGAAATGAAGGGGGACGTCTGGAAATGTAACTTGCATTTTCCGGGGGGGGGGTAGGACCAGGAAATATGTAAGTTACATTTATGGAGGTCGTGAAAATAAGGGGGGGACCTCCCCCTAAAAAAATGTAAGATTCTACCTCCAAGGTCGCAAGTTACATTTTCTGGACCCCCCCCCCTTGGAAAATGGTCTACAGGGGATCATTTTATAAAAAGCATGGATTTCTTACAATTATACACCACCAAAATGTAACTTACATTTCTGTTGATAATAGCCCTAAAATGTAAAATTTACATTTTCAGGCACCCCCCCCAGAAAAATGTAAGTTACATTTTTGGTGGTCCCCCCCTCCTAAGGAGTAGGGATATAGTTTGTTTGAGTTTAGTAATGAATACATGCCACGGCTCACAATATATTGAAACTGAGTGGTTGACCTGGGGTCAATCTGCAGATCTTCCAGTCCGGAGCCAGGAAAAGACTGCAGCTCCACTTCCCCCCATACCACACACCACACCCACCATGCATCACCACACGGATCTCCCCAGTTGTTTGCCCCACGCTCTCCACCGGTATTCACCGCTCTTCACCACCGCGCTTCACCACGCCGAGGCAGCGCTTGTACGAGGCCACCGCGGAATCCGAAGGTCTCCGTGCCTTGAAGGACCCGGTCGACCGGTCTCCGCGAAGCGGAGCGGGCCAGCGGAGCGCGGGCCAGAAACAGGGGAAGGGGAAGGGAGGAGGCGACTCCTGTTTTGGGTGCGGTGGTTTTTGGTAGGTTTCATGTGCAGGACGTGGATCAGTGGCAAAAACTGGGTGTGATCGGTGATCGGATTGGGGAGTGTGTCCGTTGGTCGAATAGGCGGAAGAAGGTCAACCTTGATTCAGCAGGGAAGCTGAAGGGGTGAGTTTCCGGACTATGATTAAGACATTTTAAGAGTATACACTGGTAAGAGTGTGAACCTTGGTATCATAGTACAGTATCTTAGTTACCTGGTAAGAGTGTGAACCTGGATGATACTGTACCAAATATTGCAATCTTCCATGAGATTGACCGAGACGACAAACAAAAAACACGTCCCAGCAGGGGAGGTGATTTGTTTAGTTCTTTTGGGGTTCCCTTCGATCCATGAGAATGTTTGGAACTGGCAAGGAAAGTCATCAGCAATCCTTCCATGAAGTGGATCAGTTGGAGACAACCTATTGTGGATCCACAAAGGGCCAAGGTCGTTGACATAAACCTGCTTCAACTGACGTTCCTCACCAGGACGCACAACTGGAGGCAGCGCTGCTGATGGTTTTGCAGGTACGCTGAAAGCAAGGACGGTGGCTGGACATCTCACCAATGAAAACCTCATGAAACGTCACTAACTTAGCCCCACCTGCCTAATTTGCATCGCTATAACAGACACCTTATTCGGCATCCTCGACTGGCAATAGAGCAACGGCTCCTTTTATGCAGGCGGCCAAGGAAGGCACCGGAGGACAGGACGACCACGAAATTCAATGGCCCGCAGTTGATGGTTGTTGGCGGCATGAAACAGAGTCAATTCTGTCACTTGTTCACCATATGTTTGTTGTGTTTGTTTGCTTTTGGTTTTTGTTTGCTCTACCGCAGCTGCTGGGACGGCTTCTCATCCAAACCATGTTGAGACGGAGGCTGTGAGACCTACAGACCCAGCGTTTGCCTTAATTCCATGTTTCTTTTTAAGATCACTCATGGGACTGGCCTATGTATGTAATTTATAGATCCATTGGCGGGGTCAATGGGGCGGCTTATTTTTTTCCAGCTCCCAATCGGATGGTTTTATCACTTTCGCTGGGCCTTCCAGCTCCTCGTGGACCTGACAGAGACACCTCACGTGACCGAACTCAGCATGGACCGTCGACGGTCACGTGGACTGGAACATGATTGGAACCATCCAAAACCCATCGGACTCGGACTGGAATAATTCGTTAAGGCCATCCTGTCTGGGTTTAGGCCATCTCGAAACGGCTAAATTCCAGAACGACTTCACCACCAGATCTTGGCGAGTCCGTGGCAGTCGGATGGTTTGGACACCCATCGGATCCCTTCCAATTCTGGCCTCCTGGACCTGGGCGGAGCGGATCCCGCACCTTCGCCTCCTTCGCAGGCGGAGAGCATTTGGGAGTCCAAACGTTTGGCGTCGGGCAGCTCAGCTGGCGTGTTCAACTGTGGGTGTTGAGGATCCTCCCCAGAAAATCCCAGAGTTTCTGCCAGAAAGCAGTGTGAGCCGGAGTTCGGCCCACCCAAAACCTGGACTCGTGATTCGCTGCCCGAGGTGTGAGCTTTTAGCCCGGCGCTACCGTGCAGGAGGTGCGTGACTCGATGACGGTGACGTGACTGGACGGAACAGTGGCGAACGAGAGAAACGCAGCAAAGAAGGCCAGGAAGGACAGACTGTGTGAGGCTGTGTGGTTTGACCTAGTGTTTTGCACAAGGGCGTGCCTTTTTCTTTTAAAATGACCTTGGTGGCCCAATGTTCAGCCTCTAGACAGCGCAGTAGGCCAACTGCCGCAACCAGTTCATGTATGTCCATGCCAATTCATTCATAATGTCATGGCATGTCATGTCGAGTTGTGTTGTGTCATGTCATGACTGTTGTTGTTGTTGTTGTAGTAGTTGTTGTAGTTGTAGTTGTTGTAGTAGTTGTAGTTGTAGTAGTAGTAGTTGTTGTTGTAGTAGTAATAGTTGTTGTTGTTGTTTGCGGCTGCGCTATGTCATTCTTTTGATATTATATGACATAGGACATAGCAACCCCTACCATAAAAAGGTTGCCACACCCTCGATTTTTTGAGGAGGCATCATTTTAAAGAGTCTTACATACATTTACAGACCATGTGTGTCAAAGGTCAGTTCATTAATTTTACCAGTTTTCTTGCACAAATGGAAGGCTTGACTTGAGTCTTGAAGCATTCAAGAAAACAAAGAACACACAACACACAAGAAAGCATTTACACATATATATATATTATAGTTGTTTCCTCCTTGTTTTTACTTACTTTCAACAAAGCAAATGAGAAGAGAAAATGAACAAGAACGTCTTACACACTAGGATTATCAAAATTAATGTTCGAACCACGATGCCAAACTCCTTTGTTCCTCCAGTCGTGATTCTCCATTGGATGTCCCCAAGTCAGGGCATTGTAGCATCAACCATGTAATGTGTCACAGACAAGAAGAATTTGAATGTTGTCCACCTTTGGTCCATGTGGTTGGTATGCTGGCAAGCTGGTTGGGTTGTTGGTGATGCTTGGTTAGTTGCTTTTCAGGACTCGCAAGATCTTCGAACTTTCTGGTGGACTTTTCTGGGCCAAAACAGTACATCCATTTTCAAGGATACACCTCAGATCGCTCTGGGGTCATCAACTTGGGGATCCTACTAGCGTCCTTGTTCCGTTCGTTTCGCGATGCCCCTTTGCTCCGTTCGCTCCGATGGACCGGTCGCGCCGCGTCCGACGGCCGCCAGTTGAGACGGAGAGTTGGGGGCGCCCAGAGGGAACCTCCGCGACCGGTCGACGCGGGGAGCGAGCAAGGTCGGAGATCCGGTTGGAAGAGGATGATCGTTCCCCTTGGGTCCCTGTAGGTTAGAAGAGAAATTGGGAAATCGGATTTATGACTACCACGGCCGCAAACACTCCATGTCAGAGCAAAAAGTCGCAGCTTCTCTTGAACGTGCAAGGTACTAGCTCCTCCATCCGCTCCAGCCAGGCCATCCGCTCCAGTGGGGCGTGTGGAACATGTGTGCTGCTAAGACTCCCAACCTGAAACAAAGGGATGTGTCCACACTTGTTAAGTAAAGGATCTGAATTGGAACAATTTGGAACAACCACTCAACAAATTTCAAAAATCATTTAAGTTTTAAAGCTTAAAATTTAGTTTCGGGTTGTTCGGGTTTCCAGGCATGTGTTTGGCAGACCAGGTGTTTGATGTTCATGCATTATTCCGCGAGTCTATACCCTGTCACCCTGCTCAAGGTTCGTTTCGCAAATCCCTCATGCGTATGGATGGTCCGCTTGAAAATCAGTTGGTGAACTGGGACCCTCTTCAAAGCCTGTCTTCCGTAAAAGCATCTTCGTTCAGCTGGAGTTTTGGACCCTTGTATTCCTTTCACCCTGCTTTCGGCGACGAAAGCAAAGGATACTCATCTTCCAGAATACTTGGTGACCTGGGTGTGCATCATCAATTGAGTCAGAACTCCCTTTCTGAACCTGATATACCGTTTTGCTGTGTTTCTCACATCTAATCTACCTAATGCGCGGCATTCTCTCATCTGTCTTTCTCTTGGACCAATTCGCTCCCCCTTTTCGTGGACACCCGACGTGCCACGCCGCAGGTGAAGGTCTTGTTGTCCTTGCTCACCGACGAGGAGAGAAAACGGGACGTGGGTCGAGGACGAGTCGAGGTTCCCCACGAGAAAACGGGAAGACCGACAATGAGAAACACAAAACATGTGGTCTGAAGGGGCTGAAGGTGTGTCCATGTGCAGTTGTGGAGCTGTCGTTTTTGTTTTTGTTTTTTTTTTTCTGGAGCCAGTGTGAGGTCAAAAGGCACTTGCATTCCACCAAAGCCACTGAACGATCTCAACAAAATAAGCAACCTAATTGTTCTTCAATAGACGTCTCCTTTTTGGCTGGCATGTATGAGGATGCTAGTTGTGGCCAATCTATTTGCCATCCAGAGATGATTTGGTTCACACCCAGGATGAATCTTACTGATTGTGGACAATCAGGTGTGCTGAAACTCAGCGCAGTGGATCCACCGCTGGTCACCAGTCATCAGTGGGCCCAAAGACTATAAGAGTCATCATATAGAGTTACAATAGACTGAACGAGTCGCCCTGGTTCCTTATGTCGTGGCAACCTGGGATCCACTGGGCAGTTGGTTGGCCAAAAAGGAGTGAGTCCGTGCAACGGAATCGCCAGGAGATTCCGGAAGAGAGGCACATGGGGGGCCTCAGGATGTGCTCAAGGCATGGGTCGTGAGGACGCATGCGGTTCATTATATTGAGGATGACGAAGATAAACCAGCTTGGTGATTGTCTTCAGATAGATTCTTTTTTTTCAGTAGATTCAGTAGATGTTGCAAGCTGGAATCACCATGAATCACCATCAAATTGAGCAGATCTCATGTGGGATGATGATGATGATGATGATGATGATGATGATGATGATGATGATGATGATGATGATGATGATGATGATGATGGCCATCACAGGTGATGTGGGCCCAAAAGAACCGATGCCACATTTTGATCTTGATGTCCGGTTCAATTCTGTTGTATCACAACGTGAGGAATGCTCCGGAGAAAGAAGCATTTTCTGGAGCATTGCAGCATTGCCCTGGCTGCGTTGAAGGGGAACCGCAGGAATTCCCAGGTAGGTGTCTACAGACCCCACGTACCGTGTCGCCCGCGTGTCAACAGCTGTCGACCTGAAAAAGGACCCCTACCGACCCGTCACCTGGGGTACTTGTGGGATAGTGTCAATAGTCTGCAGGCTCCTCAGAAGGTCTTTGGACCCCACTCCAAGCACCTTCTCAGAAGGTACGACTGGAGCTCTAGAGATTGGTAGCGATTGGTGAGCATTTAGGGCCCATGGCGGGGACACGTCATGGCGAATGACTCGTCATGGCGGTTCCTGGGGCTTCCTGACGTGGGTTCTAGTTCTTCCAATTGGAAAAGGGGGCGGGATTGGAGATTCCTGAAAAACAATCTACAACCTCCAGGACCTTCCCAGTGACCTTTTGAGATCCCAGAATGAGGTCACGAAACGGCCTTGAAAAGGTCACTTACCCATCCTGAAGAGGTCACTGGGAAGGTCCTGGCTATCTTCATTTGGACTTCTTTCAAGATCCCAAGAAGAACGAAGCCATCGAACTCTGAAACGAAGCCATCTACCCTCAGCGCCTGCGTCGGTGGCCCCCAGGAGCGACGAAGTGAAGCTCTCCGCGCGCAAGGCGCGGTTTCCCGTGGTCCGTGTGAGCGCGGGGGGTGGCGCCAGAAACGCAGGTGAACGGGCGCGGTCCCAAGGCGAAGAGGATAGATATCTATAGAGAGTACTGTATAGATAGATCGATAGTTATATAGTATCCTATAGTGAACCCTAATCATAACGGACTGTGCGATGTGTGTTTCTGTGTCGATGGGGTTTACTACAACACGTCGTACAGCTGCTCCCGTGTTTGGGCATTCTTCGATACAGCTGCGTCAATGCTGGTCAGAGATTTCGGTGAAATTGCGAGACTCGGAGACTGGTGTTGGTTTCAGAACCTCTTCTGTTCGATACCGCTCATCCAATGAATGCATCTCATCTGGGCCAGTCGTGTGTCACGAGACATCACCGCCTGGCTATTGCTCAAAGGTCGCGAAACCCGAGCCAGCAGGATGGTGGATCAATATTGCTTAGCCCAGACACTCCATGTATGCCCTAGCCTATATGCCTACATTGACCCCCAAAACCACCTCAATGTAGGCATATATGGCAGTCCCATGGAGTGTCTGGGTAGGACATACTAGGACTCATTGGGGTGTTCCGCCTTGTGGAAACACCAAGTCCATGGAGCCGTGTGGATGTTTCCCCGGGCGGCTGAGTTGTTGGTCGAAAAACACCGTTCAGTCGTTGAGTCGAACGAAGACATCCACGGAACAAAGAGCTCACTGTTGCTGAAGTTGGGTTGGTGTTCACCTCATGTTTAAATCCGGATTAGATCCGGATCCCGAAGAAACCCTTGTTTGGCTTCGCGCCTCAGCCTCTCGAGCCGAGCCGGCAGTGAGCCAGGCAGTCTTGACGATGGCCTGCGATGGGCGCGCCACCTGGATGGAGGTCCTCCAGGAGTTCCTCGAGGAAGAAGGTGCCGGCAGCAGACGGCACCGGTCCCGGTTTCGGGGGCGCCGAGGTCGGTGAGAGAAGCGCACGGTTGCGGCGAAGCCGAGAGTGGCGGAGCGGAGCGGGGTATCCGGTGATGGGAGATGCTCATGCTGTATGATGAGTATGTTTCACGTGGAATGAGATCGATGAGATTGTTTTGGGTTGGGAGAAGAGGGAGAAAGAGGGTTTCAAAAGATTCAGATGCAAGAATGGTCACAGATTTCTGGAAGAATGCTGTGTTGTTTTTTGCCGGGCAAAAAACAAGCAGACAAGGCTGCAAAGTATTTGTATATAAGAGGGCTGCTTGGTGCCACCTGAGGAGTCACTGTTTAAAGTCTAGCCACCTTCTGGGTGAGGGACACAAATAGTGTAATATTTACTAGCACCTTCAAAAGAGGTCACCAATGGATCTCCGTTGGAAACCCCGTTGAAGGTCTCAATACTATAGACATTCATGAATTTCATGGTTCCGTATTCAGTATGCCAAACTCGTGGCTCAATACCGTTGCGCCAGGTCTATCACAGCTGCTCGATTTGAGTACTCAAGCGGGCGAGGAGAGACACACTGAGCGGGGCGCGAACCTTGCCTTGGGGGTTTGGAGAGGGTTGATCAAGGATCGAATGAGCAGTTGCCTCGGCCCTTGGAACTCTGAAGGTGAGACTAATTCGGCTTCCGCCAGGATGAAGATGATGAAGTGGATGAAGACAGCGCACATCGCAACAGGGACTTTTCTCATGAATAATTTCTCTTGGCTTTATGCGCAGCTGCCAGCCTCTAGATAGCATATTGTGATGTTCTCAGATCCTGTCATCACTCGCTGCAGATTGGGGCAACACCTTGCTAAAGACCTGAGCCTATGGCATCAAGCAGATGTTCCCTTTGCAGAGCCGCCTTTAGAATTCAAGATGCAGCCGGACCATACAATGGGTGTCCAATGAAGGTCGTCCAGCCAGGACACCCAGACACGATGGTCGAGGTACAATTTGACCACCTGGAATATTGACCATATCTTGGAGAGAGCATGGGGTCTAGTGTCGAGTCAAAAAACGTGAAATCCAATGAAGTTTAGACCATCCACCCTTCTTGGAAACCGTGAATCTGTCATGTGTGTCAGTTGTCCATCTATTTAGAAACGGTTGAGCAGATCCTGAGCAGGTCAGGTGAAAGATGTGTTCTTTTGTCACACCTGGCAGGGCCAGCGCTTGGTGGTCGAGCTCTTGCTACGGGGCTTTGAAGGTGGCGCGCCCAGGTTTGGCCACGCATGTGCCAGGTTTGCTTGGTTAGAAGCTAGCACAATTAGACTGAGTGATTCAAGATAGACCCCAGAGTGTTGCGTGTATTTGCCTGGCTCCTTCCGTCCAGACACTCAGGCCGATCAGCAGTCGCACAAGTCGCCCGCACAAGTCGCACCGAACCAACAAGTCCATAGCAGTTGCTACGGATTCATGAGCCTTTGGGTGGGGCAATTCTACACATTTGGTTTGTGGGAATGAATTTGGCTCTGCGGATTGATTCGCGGTCCGAGAAATCCGCCAGTGACTCTTTGTTTTCTGGATCGGTGACCGGTGATTATCGGGAAGTTCGATTTAATCTCAGAGGTCGACACTTACCGCCCGCCCTGGGCTCCTGGCCTACCTCGCTTTCGAAGATGCTTGAGGTGGGTGGATTTGGGTAATTCTGTGCCCACCTTCTGAGAAGATGGGACAGGAGCTGTAGGGCTTGTTCTGACCACCCAACCACATGGCATTTCCCGTTCTTCGCAGCTTCGCGCAGCTTCGCGTGGCTCCTTCGTTCCCTCATCGATGCAGAGGCCCCGTGGTGCAGAAGTTTGCCGAGCCGAAGCTGGTGAACGACAGGTGAGCTGCTCAGCTGGTGTATGTTGCACGCTGTTTTGCAGGCAGAATCTGGTCCATTTTTCCACCCTCTTTGTAGGGCAGACAGAGCCTTTTCACATGTTAACTCACTAATCATCCGATGTTCCGGCTGTTGTGCTGTCTTGCTCAAGATTCTCGGTTTGATACCCCTTTTTAATAGTCCTAACAGCACCACAGTTTCAGTGCTATGTGGTGCCATGTACGGCCGACACCGCTGGAAGAGTATTCGAAGTCACTTCACAACAGCGCCGGACACACTGAGCCGATGTTGTTCCCCATGTACACCGTACCTGTGAAGGCAATCCTATCCATGACAACTCTGGAACCTCACGAGGCACTGAAGTTGCAAGGCCTGCTGGTGGAATTTGACAAGACCATGGGCAAGGCCCTGTTTGTGTCACACCAGTGGGTGGGTAGACGCCATCCAGATCCCGATTTCATCCAGTTCAGTGTGCTACAAGAAGCTTTGAGGCATCTCATGTCGGAGGTGCAATACATAGATTCCTGGATGGCTTTGTATGATTTTGCTTCTTGAAAGGGAATAAACAGTTGCAACAATTTTAGAATATCAATATAACTACACAAAATCGCGTCGACTAGACTGTTTCTGTAGACTAGAACTCCATTGACCGCATGTCGATATCAACTCATGAACTGGACGTCCGAACCGAGGTTGCTTTGCCAAGTGTGAAGCCTTTCGCTACTGCAGAGCTGAAATCGGCCCCTCTCTTTGTTTGGTATGACTACTTCTCCTGCCCACAGCTGGAGCATTTGGTTTCGCACGTTGAGAGCGGACTTATGAGTGACCTCGCCAAGGCAGTGAGCAGCATTCCGCTCTATGTGGCTGAGTGCTCATTCTTCTTTGCACTTTGCCCCGTCATCGAAAGCAAAGACCATTCCAAGTTGCTCGGTCCCCAGAGCTGGGCATCCCGAGGCTGGTGCCGCATTGAGAGGTGTTGTCGCGAGCTCTCTCCACAAGGCTCCTGGGTCATGATCCGAAGTGCCAAGCAGATGGAGTTGATCTCCTCTCCAGTAGCCACTCTAGGCTTTGGGTCACCTGGTGAAGGCCTGTTCACTGTGGAGGAAGACCGCCAGAGGCTTGGGCCGGTTGTCTTGACGACTTTGCAGCGAAAGCTGCGATTCTTGCTGCAGTCAGGAGACCTCGTGGGATACAGAGTCCTTTTGAACCATCAACCTCTTTTTCTAAGGGGTTTTCATGTGCCGGCCATGTATGACTTTGTTCCTGGCTTTGAAGCCGACCCCTTCAAAGATGGTGCCCTGACCGTGTCCAAGTTCCTCTACAACAACGGCTTCAGCAAGGTGACTGAAGTGGACAAGGTGGGTTGGACCCCATTGCATTATGCCGGTTGCCGTGGTGATCCTGACTTGGTTCGAGCCTTGCTGGCACAGCGTGCGAACCCGAATGTCAAGGCCGCGAAAGACAATGTCATGGCAGGAGCACGCTCCAAATGGAGGGTGATGACGAGTGTTGCCGCCTGCAGACATCATGAGGTCGCCCGCATTTTGATCGAGGCCAAAGCCGAACTGAGCGGGACACAGTTGGTTGGAGCATGCATCGGCAATGATCCCGAGGGAGTCCGACTCCTTTGCGAAGTGGGTGGTGTGAGCCCTCATGCCGCGGATTACGAGGGTGGATACGGAGTGCCGGCAATCCATCTTGCTTGCATGTATGGAGCCACCGCTGCGCTGGAAGAACTGGTTGCCCAAGCTGCCACACACAGCAGTGGCAGTGGCATGAGGCAGGGCAGCATTGATGTGTCCCATGCGCTTTGGCTTGCGCCTTGCTTCGGGAATTGCAGTGCGGAGCTGGTTAATACCTTGCTGGATCTGCGGGCCGATGTCAACGAGCAGTTCCATCTCAGCGTGAGAAATCCAGTGGGACTGCTGGTCAAAGTCATGGCCTTAAAGCATCGTTTTGGCAAGCAGACACACTTCAGCAGAATCAGCTTCCATGCCAACGGTGCTACTCCTTTGATGCAAGCAGTGATGGGGGGACAGTATGAAGCGGCTGCAGCTCTCATTGCCAGGGGCGCCCGTTTGGACTTGCGCAACTCGCGTCTTGGACTTGCCCAAGAAACTGAATAACATCCATCACATCCAGCATGTCATACTTGAGTTCATTTTGTACACAGTTATATAATTGTACTAAAAGTAGAGATGATTCATACATGCTATAGACAGCTACTTAACGTAACGTTCCAAAATTCTCTGGCTAGTTCAGCAAACTGCAGGCATGGCTACACTGTGGCAGACCTGGCAATGGGCCGATCGCCGCCAGCGTTTCTAGTACAAGCCTTTGAGGGGCAATTGGCCGGGTGCTTGAGAGTGGCGTCGCTGGCGGTGGGTTCGACGAACGGAGAGAATGGGGAGACAGAGGAGAACGAGAACGCGATGATTGAGGTGCATTTCTGATGGCACACAGTACCATCCTGACATGCACGTGTGCTGCGAGGTCGGTATCAGAGCTGAGTCCTGACGGAGATGTTCCCACCTCAAGCTGTCTCCCCCTCGTGATATACCCGCCCTTGCGAGATCGAGTGCCAAAAACAGTGAGCTCCAGCCCATCTGGCTTCGAACTCAGTGGTCTCACCATTTTGTTGGGATCATTTGCAGCTTATGGATTGCTTATTCCTGACAACTGTCTTGCTGCGCAGTAGGTGTTCCCCACTGGAACTCGAAGTATTTCATGGCACGCGTGTCGGAATCGAGTTGGGTCCAAGCGGTACGTGCTTGGAATTCATGCCTGAGGATCAACGGATTTGTTTGAGTTGTGAGGGTGGCTTCTTTTGATTTCTTTTGTTTGATATCCAACTGCAAGTTCCAGTCACAGCTCAATGCTGCGCAGTGGGTTGGCCCCTTTCTCAGCTGCTGTCGTGATTGTTGTCCTAACTGGAGATAAACCGCTTGAGTGTCCTTGAGTGGGAAGCAACCTCGTGGGTAAGCTTCAATCGTGATGACAGTTTTCCTGATGAAAGACTCACAAAGACTCACAATCTTATGAAGTACCAGGAGCATCCTGTCTCGGTGTCCAATGGAGACCCCTGAGTAGTGTAGGGTAGTCCAGCCAGGACACCCAGACAGGATGCTCTAGAGTCTAGAGCCAGTCGAGAGCCGCAGCTTTTCTCGAAACTATGGGTGAAGATGGGAGAACTTTGGTGTCCCAGGAAACCTGTAGAGCAGTCAGATTGAACAGGTCTTTTGAAATCACAATGTTAGTATATTTCTTAGTACTGTCGGCCTGCAACTGAACCATCATCCATTGGGCCCAGAGAATGGGATATACCCAAGGTAAATCTGATTTGGCACAATGACACAAGCTTTACCAGGAAGCGCCTCTTAAACGAGCTCTTCCTCTCCAGCCGCGCCTTCAGAGGGTGACACCACAGACGTGACACCAGCGGCATTGGGCATGCTGGTAGATGGGATCTGGTAGGGTGTGGCAGTGTCTCCAGTGATCATCACATTGATCATGCAGGCTGTGGCTCCAAACACGGGGCAACGACCGGCTGATCCACCGAAACATGAAGAGAATGGACGAATGGACTACCGACAGGAGGTGGTCAACCTCTTATAGGGTGAAACGGGCTCCAGGTTTTGACGTACAGCCATGTCATGTTGTTTCATGGTTATGGTTCTATCTCTATAATGTACTATATAACATATATAGAGATATAGAACAATACTATATTAGATAACTATATATACTATATATATAAATGGCCTTGGGACCCTCCACCAACTTCTCTGCATGTACAGGATCAGCTTCCATGATCACGTCTCACCAATCCAAATCGACCCATGAATCATGTTGAGTCTGGGGGGAGCTTGGACTGCAAACGCGACCTGTTTGGGACTGCAAATGATGGGCCAACAAAAACAAGTACCAGCACCACCCAAAAAAAGGGTGGTCAAGAGATGGAACATAGTATGGAACATAGATAGATCGTCAGGGAGGGTCTGTAAACCAACCTGTGGGTTGGTGGTAAGAACCATCAAATCTAGGCCAGATTCATCCATCTTGCCCGTCACCAACCTGTGGAACGGTCCCATCTGACACTCCAACTCCTACTACCCTCCGCCGCGCGGGCCCCGCGCACCACGCTCCAACCGGCGTCAGGTGACGCCTTTGTGCGCGGGTCGGTTGGCCGGGGCCCAGATGGCCAGACCGGGCGTGAGGAGTGCTTGGCTGGGACGATTTGGGGGGTAAATGGCCCACGGGATGGATTCTAAGTACGTAGCTGCTGTCAATCATCAGCGAGATTCAAACAAACTCCAAGAGTACTTTCGGCCAAGCGAGATGTTCCCTTGTACTTGTTGGGAACAGCGGGAACTAGACGCTGAATCAACGCAAAGAACGGATCCGTTCGATAGAGGAGAGTCCGTTGCAGGAGTTTCAGCGTTTCATTCTCGACCAGGCCCAACAGGGGTTGTGAATGGACGCCCCTGAACCTCTTGTCGCTTAACCATGCTTAACCTCATTTCAGTGCTATCAATCGACACTCCTTTAAAGGGTCCTGGCGAATGCCTGTTAGCCCGCCATTGAGAGGGAGTTGCGAATGCTTCCCTCGACCGCACCTCATGCCTTCCGCGGTGGGGTCATTTCGTCTCCAACGAGGCGTTCTCCTTGCCGCCCTGTTGACTGACGCGGAGGGCTATCGTGAGGCGGTGCGACAGATTTGGGGGCGGTGGATCTTCGGACAGGCACGGAGGGTGGCTTAGGCTGTTCTGCTGCCTTTTCTAGAATGAACTGTCGGAACATTGGGAAATATCCACAAAAACAAGATCTTTGCGGCAATAATCAATGTAAGTCTGTTAGATTGATAGAAGCCAACTGGACTGGACCACAGGAAAGATTTTACAATGCGAAGGACCGCCAGTGAGCGCATCCAAATGAAGGGTTATCAATCAATCAAACGTCTAGAAAATGGATGTCGCCCTTTGTTTGGCCCTCGGAGACAACACACGAAACACCGACGACCATGAGACACCGAAGACTCAGATCTACTCACCCCTGAAGACTTCTACAAAGGATGGTGCTTTGGGCTCCATGTCCATGTGAGTTTCAGAACACATCGCACAATATCGCACACACTCTCATTTTGGCGACAAAGATCCCCGCGCCCTAAAAAGCCCTGTGGACTTCTCCCCAGAGTAAGGTTGGACCACCCAGTGTGTTTTCGGAGGAAAAGACAGGTGGGGTGAATCTTTTCAGTTTGGTGCATTGGTTTGATCACTGCTGAGGACCGGATTGAAAACTTGTTTTATTCTAATTTGTTTGCGGATCACCTCAGAAGGATGATTCAATATCATGCATCCTCCAAGTCCTTGTGTGGTTTGGGTGCCTATGCCCATGCCCGAGCGCCAAACGATGTGGCCATGGACATAGATAGATAGATATATAATGATATAATATATATATATACTAGTATTGTTATATATATATATTAATATTGGGCTATGGATTGAAGTGGCAGTGGCTTTTTGCTCGGAGGTCCAACATGCGTTTTGTGGTGTCCATACCGGCTGCATTGGTCACAGGTTGGACAGTCAGGAGCGGACCATGCTTTTTGGAGATCTCCAAAGCCCCCCGGGGCCCACGGCCCACGGCCCTGGAAGATCATGATTCCCAACTACCCCATCCTTAGACATCCGAAAAGGACTTTGTTTTTGTCGCATCAGAGTTGGACTCGGAAAGGCCCGGAAGATGACATTGACTGCACAAGCTCAGCCGGCTGAACAGGCTGCACAGGCTGAAGCTGGCCTCGCAGCCTTGCGGGAGGCACTGAATTGTGCTGCACATGTCGTCTCATGCTGTCTTATTTGGCACTGAACATGATGTGAAGGGGTGAAAAACAGCAACAGATGGCATCAGATGGGTGGATTGCCGACTTGTTCTTACAAGATCCAGTTGGTTTCAACGCGTTTCACACTGTTAGACATATGCGACTCTTGTGTAGTTGACCCTTGAGACCTCTGATATATAGGATATAGTCCTAAGACTTGGAGATGTTTTATGGATGTGTGAGGCATGATGAAACTCACGTCCAAGTCCCAGAAACACATCAAAGCGGCGTTTTTGGGCCGGGTTATCCTCCTTTTGAAGAGTTCTTCACCCTGGTGGCCTTTCTTCAGGAGATGCTACGGCCGCCCGGACGCCCGGGCCGGACCTCATGGAGTAGGTAGGGAGGATTAGGGAGGTAGGTCTGTGAAGCCCAAACACATGGGCTTGCCTTGGGATTGGAGCTGCTATGCCCGAAATACTTCATGTATAGCATTTGACCTTTTTGTTCAACCAACCAGGCCCAATGTAGGTGCCAGTCCCATGGGTCGTTTCTGGCGTATGCCAGCATTCCACGCAGGGGGGCCCTTCTTGCAAGCTCCTAAGTAGTGGTGGTTAGACCCCCCCCCGCACAACCATCCCAAACCATCTTCGAAATGGGGTAGTTGGAGCCCTACTAGGGATCAATAGACAGATAAAGGAATCCTCATATTCGTAAAGATTCTCACCAGATTCTGGCATCCACAGATGTCAGAAACCACATTCTAGGTGGTGTGGTTTTGGCATGATGAGTCTGCCTGTCATGTGACTCTACCTCTACTTGAGATGATTGAACTCACAAAGTATCTCACTTGAACTCACGAAGTATCTCATGTTTTTTTTTTTCTGAGTTGAAACCACCAATGCAACATTCAATAACATGCATTCTTGTTGGGGTGCCAATTGGCCGGTCGTTTTTCCGTTGACTCCACGATGTCAGCCCCGAGGCCGGCGAGTTTGACGGTGGACTTGCAGCGGCTCTTGACGGAGGTCCGGGCGGGGAAAACGAAGCAACGGAGCAACGGAGCTAGCAGACCAAGCAAGGTGCACCAGCATCGTTGGAGCTGGAGGGAACATGGAGGACAGTCTCAATGACAGACATATAAGATAATATAAGTTTATACACTAGCAACCGACTTCACAGGTCACCACCGTGCCACTTTTGAGTCTGCGAAAGTCACCAGAGGAGACCTGATGGAAGGTATTGATATACATGATGTACATGCATTAATAATTAATTGACATCGTCATCGTCCACCGATTCCTTCTTTATTTCTCCCCCATGCTTTTCAATTCAAGACTTAGGCTGTGTATAGCGCGACTTACCAAACATCGGCTACCCAGTCCAACATGCCAGTCCGAATTGGGGGATTGCACACGGGGAGAACATCGAGAAGAAGACCACGAGACAGCGCAGCGACTGAGTCCGGACCGAGTCTCGACTCGTTAGCACTCGAGTGGAGACGACTGACGGTGCGACCTCGTCACGCCGCGCCACAGGAGGAGTCTTGGCGCTTCCTGTTGCGTCTCGCGCAATGCCATTCCTCCGGACAGGCGCCGGTTGTCCATGCCGCGTCGTGAAGTTTCTGTTTAGTGAAGTTGTGCGGGGATGTGGAGTCGGATGCTTCGTTGTTCCAATGACATAACATGCAGATTACCCCACCTCTTCAGAGAGGTTCCTCACTTTGCTGGAGAAGGACTTCAAAAGAAGCTCGAGGAGCTACGATCTGAATCTGTTGATAGTGGATTGAGAGTAGATGGCGCAATCCCCCAAAGGTGGTTTATATGGATCCCCATCTAGAAGACATCTTGGGGTTTGTGCCATCTACTCTGAAACCACTGCAATTTGTTTGGTGGCTAGTGCTACACCTGCTAGGTTGAGTTGATGGAGGATGGGGCGCAAGAGAGCTTTTGTTGAATTGGGAAAGTTGAACACAAGAGACATAGAGACAAATATGTGACTTAAGGAGTCGAAGAAACTTTAAAACATGTAACCCACAATTTGGATTCCTTGTTTACGTTTAACACAATTGCAGTAGTTCAATTAATATATATATATATTATTATATGTGCACATCGGCGATGGTTGAGATGTCCTCGGAAGTTTTAGCATCAAAAGTTGAGAGCAAAAAACGTTTAATTCGTAAAACAGATCTTACACTTCGAAGCGAATATCAAACATGATGTTGATATTCTGTTCTTTTATTGTGCAGATAGATACAGTATTACAGTATTACTGTTGCAACAACCTTCCAGTTTGTGATTACGACAGTTGTATACTTAGATACATGGGGCAATACGAGAGGTATCTACGATTTTTTTAGACAATGAAATTTGGACATGCATTTTTATTTTTTCTAAATCTAGACACAAAGATAGATAGATAGCATAGGATCGGACAGGGTAAGGATTTTTTTTTGTGTAGGATCGGGGGCAAGTCCGAAGTCCGAGCAAACACAGAAAACACACCCCATTTCTTATACCTCGCAGGAGGTCTCGCTCTTCCACAGCGAAGCACGACCCATCGCCCCTCCCAATCGGGAGCATGTGAGGCCAGCAACTTTGTTTTATTGATGATGCTGGCCCTAGTTGCTTGGATGAAGCTTGCGCATATGCTTTAGATGAATGGCGTGAATGGTGGAGAAAGAAGTGGGATGCTGGTATGACAGATTCTAGTCTATATGACTATATTTATTACTTATAATGTTGGACCGTGCAAGATGTGTTCAACATCCACTTCTAGAGCATGCCTCTTAGGTTGGACTAAACATTAGATCGACCCACAGTGAGGGACCCGCCTAAAGTAGGTCGAAGCGAAGAAGACCCGCCAGCCCATTGGATCAAGGAACTATCCGTTTCGATACGGACCTTTTTGGCATCCTACGTGCCATAAAAGCCTGGCTCCACACACCTGTAAAATTACAATTGTTCAATACAGAGGGCACCAGTGTTGCATTCCTCGCAGTTCAGACCCCTGACAAATTTACATGTTCAACCAAGCACCTGCTCCACTGCGGAACATTAGGTGTGCCGGAGGGTCCAAGGTAGAGTCCTGTTCTCCTTCCACCCCACCATACTTGGCCCGACGGTTCAACAAAAGATCGGATGTTGGTTGGTGATTGGTAGTTTTGGTGGAGTCTGCTGGATGGTTGCATAGTTCTCTAACTTTAGCAGGTCTTGCCTTCTTTACCATGCCCATGGAAAGCACATGGAAAGCATGCACATCCCCTGCATCCTGCATCTCCCTGGCGTTCTGACATGTTCTGACTCTACCTACCGAGGCTTCAGGGCCTCAAACCCTCCTGGAGACCCCAGGTGCGACATCCACGAACGACCTCGCGTTGGTGTCACGGAGATGGACAAGAAGTTGGTAGGGTGGTCAAACCGGGGCCATGGCAGAAACTGATTTGGATGGTCAGAGATTTATTTTTTTTCTCACTTGCAAAGCGATGTTCCAGAGGTGAGTCACCTGTGCAAAAGCCTCCAGTTTCAGGCCAAGACGATGGGTTTTGCCCAGCGAACCCCTTCGTTTTCTTCTTCGTGGCCCGACCGTGCACGACGCGACGCGACGCGACATGAGCAGGACTCCATGAGTTGCTGGTGCACCGCCTGACAGATCGCCAAGATTCGCAGGCACGATCTGTACCGCCAGGTTCAGCGGTCGGAACCGCAGGTGGAACCTATTGATACGTTCTCGGTCGGGGTGGGGCGGAGGTCGGTGCCGGTTGGCCCAGGCACGGATTTGGTGGCTGCAAGGCCCCATTTGATCGGGGGATCTGCATTTTTCCAGGCGCCAACCTTTCAAAGAGTGACCATGGCTCCATCGGGCCCAGCCCCTCCTACTCATCAGCTGGGCTTGAAACTGTGTCGAGTTTCCAGATTTGAGTGAGCACTGCCTGTACGTCTTGGTTCTGTTCTTTTTTCTAGTGTGCAATCGCGTCGTCTATTGCAGTTCTTCCCATGCGAAAGACATACCCATTGCAATCTGCTCCGCCAGTTACGTGGTCTGGCCGCGAAGCGGCTTCTGGAGCTCTACCGCGTTGAGTTGCCTCCAGGATGGGTGAAGACGACCGGGAGTTGAGGGGCCCTCTAAGGCGGTCCATCAACGCGCCATTGAGAGGTCCATGAATTGGAAGCAAAGGAATGATTTGGAAGTTCAAACCGTTGGGATGATAGGGAAGTGTCAAGGTCGCTGTGGAGCAATATGAAAGCAAGGCATCTTGGAAAGTCAGACTTCTTAACTAGTCCAGTGGACCAAGTACTTAAACCACATGTCAACATATGTCAACCACACTGTCAACCGCCATTGTTCAAGGCCCATAGTTTCATCCTAAATCCTCCCCCTGAAACAATGATGGAAGTGGACTACTTCCATGTGAGGTGTTCGTCAGACGGTAAGTCTTTTGAACCGCATGACGCCAGGGGCGGCTGAGAGTGACTTGTTGGGCCGTGCTGTGGCCTCCAGTGCCATGGAGGCATCCGGAAGACGATAGGGCCCGATATAGGGGCTTCTGAAGTCCGTTGGAATATGCAAACATCGTCAATGTCTAAAATGATGCAAGGACAACAAAGGATAAGAACACATCCGAAGACCCTGGATGGTTGAAATCGGCTGAAACGGCATAAGACATGCAATTAAGGCATTTCCCCCTAGTTCCTTGTAGTCATCTTCCCGTGCGCAAGAAATTGAGCGGAACACACTCGCTGTTGGCATGGACGTTGGGTTGGATGGCACGGTTTCTCATCGCCGAATCGGCCACTTTCAGGATGACCATGTTCCATCCCAATGAAAAAACAGGTGGTTTTCATTGGTTTTCACTCCACGTTCATTCCACTGTCCTGATTTCAGGGAATCCTCCTCTTTTTTTTGTTGCAGGCTTTGATGCTTCATGAGGCCGAGCTTCAAGAGCTCACGGCAGGCAGAGTGGAGCGCATGGGACGCGCTGGAAGGAAGGAGAAGACCCCGAACCACCCAATGTGGGCATAGTTGCAGTCCCCATGTTGCCCTTTGATATGCTTTTAAATGGTTGCCTCTCCCTCCATCCCGTTCGCTTAAGGACTCAAGACGCGAGTCACGTCGCCCTTCACCGCCGCGAGTGATGCGTGAACAATCGCTGGCGAAGTGTGTTTGGGGGACTCGACCATGAGCCCGGTAGCTATGATGTCTTGCTTTGGACGAAGCCACAAGCTGGTAGCTGGACTAGCGACATGACACCTGGTCGGGACTCGGGGATTGGGACTTACTTATTGAGATTGGTTACCCTTTATAGGTCATTCACTGCACTTTAAGGGTTTGAGAGGATTGCTGAAGGTAGATGATCCAGCCGCGTCCGTCCTTCATCGCCGACGTTGCACGCCGTGGATCCCAGCTGAAGCAAACACCAAGCATGACAAAATCATCAGACCATCGAGCATCCCGCAGGTGCAAATGAAGCCCTGGAAAGACATCACTTGGCCACTCGCCTGGCTACGGCATGCGTTTTGGATCTGCTAGAGGTCCAGATCCAGCGATTGTAAAGCTGTTGAGCCAGACATTTGTCCAGCCCTGGTTGGTAAGGTATGTCGGGTAAAATGCAAACCACCAGCATGTAGAGGCCAGCAGTCTTCATGGACACGTTGTCCATTACTGCGAGTTGGAGCGCAGTGTAGTGGTTCCTGTTGAATCCTTTACGTTTCGTTTTCCTACTCACTGTCATTGCGAGAGGTTTGCACCCACTGGTGCTTGAAGTGCTTAGCCACCTCAAGTGTGTAGCTTGGTTCCATTACGATCAAAGCCAAGAGTGAAGGGTCTCCCAAGAACGCTTCCTTTAGCCTCCGTTCCAGGTGCTTGCAGACTCTTGTGTCGTATTGTTGTTCTGGGCACGAAGCATGTCATAACATGTCATGTCGCCAGGTCTCCCGACTGGAAGCTTGCTTGTCCTCGGGCATCCAGAGTCTTTTAGTCGCATCCAGAGTGGGGCGTGGATGGAGTGGAGAGACATAGATGGAGACTTTGGTTGGAACAAGTCACCGCTGGAAGTGATGTTTTCAGCCGGGCTTCACTGCCTCTTGAGGCCGAGCCATGCAAGTTGATTTGATTGAACTGAGATTCGTCAGGTTGAACATCTATACAAGCCAAAAAAGTGTTTTCCATCTAGAGTGAGAATTTGTGTGGCAATCACCTCACCAAGTAGATTCTTCCCGTGGTTCAGGCAGGCTCAAGAAATCTAGCAGTAGTTGCAGATCTTCCCTGCCCAGCACCCGCCGAACACCGCAGCGAAGCAGCACCTGCCGCCCGAGATGCGCTCCTCCCTCGCTCGCCTGGCACCTGCCGTCGCTCGCTTGCGCGTGGAGGGCCGTCGAAGCAGCTCCTGGCAACTCGGGGCAGCTTGGCGCTGACTGAGCTGCGTGCGGCGTTCAGCAAACACGCCTTGAAGAATTCCTAGTCCTTGATCGCATAATGTCACACAGGCCAGAATAGGAGAAGTCGCTAGATATCCTGCAGCAGGTCCATGCTTTAGACAAGCACTGATATCCAGCCATGCTGCATAAGGGTTTGGGTGAAATCTTCATTTCTGGAAACGGCGAACGTCTTCGTTTTGGAGGGTCAAAGGCCAAATCCAACCCTGCGGGTCATGTTTTCCCAGTGGCATCGAAGCACTCCTATGGTGAGAAAGTTGTTTTCCTTTGCGACTCAGGCTGGCGCCTTGGCCGGCAGCGCCATTGGCGCGGCCGCCCTGTGCGAGAGCAAGACGACCTTGGGATCTCCGGTGGCGACAAATCGTGACGTGGAATGTCGGGATGGTTTTCGCTGTTGATCCCAAAAGGACAGTTATTTGCACCAACTGGGCCGGGCCCGGAATTGGTGCAATTGGTGACTCCGTTACCCTCCCGCACCACGTTTCGACCCCCAAAACCACGTGTGTTGGTCTTCGGCACATGGTCGAAACCACGTGAATTCGGTCTTGGCTCCGTGGGATCGTCTGCAGGGAGACCCAATGAGGGAAACAAGGACCGCAGGGGTTCCTGGAAATGGCTGAGTTGGCCTTCTAGGGTCCTAGGGTCCTAGGGCTTACTGTAACTTTTCTAGGCCTCTTGGGTCTCGTGGGTGATGAGTGGATGATCAACTGAGTTTTCCTGAGTTGACCTACTTGGCCCAAGTCACAGAGGGTGATGAGGGGTGGGACATGGTTTTTAGAAAACCACCGGTGTGTCAGGTACAAAGACAGATGGTAAACCATGGAAAACCACATAAACATGTCATTGGTTTGGAACATGTTGGAAGCCTCTTCACATAACAGGATGCCAAGGGCAGGTGACCAAACAGACGGAAGGGCGCCGTCACATGGTGGTTCTTACGGAGTCGGAGACGGCCCGGATGTCAGTCCCCCGGGTGTCAAGGTCCTGCAAGTCCCCGAGGGGCGGGTCCTTCAAGGTGAGGTCCCCAGGGACCAGGACCTCCGGATCATTGGCTTGGAGGAGCTTCGGGCCCACAACAACATGGACGACGGCCACTCGGGTCGGTTTGGGTGGTGTCCTGCGTGACGTTGATCTTGGTTTGGTTTAGTCTGTTTGCGTCGGCGTTTTCATTCTAATAGGCCGATAGACCTTGTTTTGCTCAGGTGTGTGCCGGAATGATTGGGTAGTAAAACAAACACCTTTTGGAAAAACATGATAAAACACATTCAAAACACCTTTGGTTTTGGGATGTTTTTGGTCTTTGACCCGTCGGGCTGGCTGAAGGGCAATTGCCGGATCAGACCCCCTAGACAATTGAGACCAGGGCGAGATCACATCGCTACTACGCTTGGACCAGCAACATAAATATGTTTGTGGGTGAACACCTGGGGACCACGGTTGACCTTCGAAAGTGTACAGAATAGATGACCAATCAGGTCAACTAGCACGGCAGACCTAAGGGGCCTAGGGGTTGGAACTCCAGGTTTGGGATCCACAGCCATCCCATATTTCTTGTTCACCAAACCCAAAACCCCCCCGAACCGCCGCGAGGTTTGTGGATCTCGTACCACGGCCACGTCTATGACGTGACCCACTTCGCGCGGATCCATCCGGGTGGCCCGGGACGCATCCAAATGGCCGGTGGAAGTGACCTACAGAAGTACTTTGATGCTTGGACATCGAGAGAGGAGTTGAGTGGGTGTGGAGCATCCTGATGCATTCTGGATGGGATGAAGGATCAAATCTAGCACAGATTTCCGCTCAACCTCAGATAAAGAGGGATAGATATACCAGGACCATCCAGGACCCTCCATGGGGTGTCTATTTACCCCTGCGGATTGTTCCGCCAGCCCTTTTGGCTGAGCGGAGGGGGGGGAGGGGGGGGGAAGTTAGACTTGTCAAAAATCCGCGCCGTGGGTACAATTAGACTAAAGACAAAACTACTACTAGGATAGCATACAAACCAATCACCTAAAACACGCCGCGCCCAAGGGCCGGCGGATTTATAGCCCCTTAGCAGGACCCTCCATGGGATGTCTATTTATATACTGTATGTATATATATATATATATACGTGTATGGGGCCTCAAATCACAGCGGAGACCTGACGCACTCTAGAGAACTCCATGACACCCTTTACATCAAGATCCTTTTAAGTCGGATCAACATGAAGGTGGGTCAGACAACCTCATGCGCCCTGCACTCCTGCAAATGATCACATGCTCACACAAAACTTGCCAAACTAGCCTTCGATCCAAACCCTCCAGTTTCTGGCGAATCGACCTTGGTCGGACCACAGACCTCCAAGCGAATCTGGTGGTGCAACTTCGAATCAGCGCCCTTTCTCGCGAGTCGACGATTCAGGACGTCTACCATGTTCATCCTGATGTGAGCAAGTTTCTGGACCGGACCTGCTTGCTTGGCCGTCTCACTGCCGCAGATGCCAAGAGATCGTCGCCTGACCGATCCGCGAAGCGAGTCGCGACGGTCGCGTCGCGACCAGCGAAGCGAAGGTCGCGTGACCCACCTGGTGTTTGCCTCGCGCGCGTGCGCAGGGGTAAGTGAGACCTTAGTTGTTCAGGAGGTGGGTGTGGTTTGTTCCACCAAAGAGGCAAGGGATTGGTTTGGGGCACTCCATTTTGAGAGACTCATTTGCGGGCTTGACATTGAATTTGGATTGACAACAACCGTTTGCCAAAGTTTACAGGAGTTTAAACCCAACCTTAAGGTATTTATTTCGTTTCCGGAACATTCCAGAACGATCCCTTCATCATCTCTTTCAGCGCGGCTGCCGGGACGTTGTTGCTTTTCCGGCCTAAGAGAAGAAAGGTACGAGGAGACGATCTTCGGAAATCCCTACGAGGATGAGCCTCCACGAGACCTGCAGCAGACCATTGCCAAAGCACCGCGCTGGGCCAATCTCATGGGTCCATACCTGTTGGACTCCTTCCGAACCCTGGTTTTGGTTCATTGCGAGCTGTTTGGTTTGCGGAAGATGCTTCTTGATTTAGTCATTGACTCCCGTGAAACGTTGGTGCCTTTTTTTTGCATTTGAGTTGTTTCCCGCAAACTGCTGGGAACCGCAAATCCCAGGAACGCCGCTGCGAGGCTTCTATGTGAGAAATCACTTCCCAGTGCCTAGCTGGGAGGATGTGGAGAACGACTATGAGTTTGAGGCGTACGTGTTTTACGAAAAGGGCCGGATGATGATGAGGGTTGATGTTAGATTGGAAAACGATGCTAAGACCCAACAGGTCATTCCAGTGCTTGGAGATGCTTCATCAGTCATGATGTTGCTGTTGCTGAGTGGAAACTCATCAGATTAAAGTAGAGAGACATGCAGTATCACCTCCCATGAAGCCCTTGTATAAGTTCAAAAAAGACACGTCGATGAAATCACCTGAGCCAAAACATGATGTCGGGGGATCCCAAATATTGAGATGAACCCATGAAACATATCCACCTGTAGCCTTTCATAAGGGTGCCACATGCTGGACGTAGAGCCAGCATTGAAAGCAGCTTCCTGCTTTCAGCGGATTTTGGATATTTGGTTGAAATGGTCACTAGATAGACAAAGTATGTCGCAAAATATGCCGTATAATTCAATTGATGAGAACTGAACAGCAGTATCATGCTCACTCCCCTACTTGATCGTTGAGGTCCTTTTGGAGGTTCGTCTGGCAGGTGTGGTTGCGATGCTGCCAGGTCTCTGTCCCCGGTGCTACACGCAGCTTCAAGTTGAAGGACTTGAGAGCTTTGCCACAAGCTACAGTGGAGGCCACGCTGATCTGCGGTGGCGCTGCATTGTACCCAAGGTGGGCAAACGGGCGCCATCAAAAACACAACGAGAACACCCAGCACCACCCAGTTTGGGTGGTTCATAGACCCCCCTGCATCCCAAGCATGTTCCATCCTGGTCAACCTGCTGGTCATGGAAGTTCCAATCCAGATCCTTCCCATTTCCTCAGCAGCTTCTGGACCACGCCCTTCCATGGAAGACCAGCCCTTCCATCGCGCTGAGTCCTCGATCGCGTGACCGCCGACCGGATCGGGTCGCCTTCGTCGGGTCGTCCGGTGGGGGTGGGTCGCGGCGCAGGTATTTACACCGAACGGAGAACCGGGAAAGCTGGGAACAGAAGGAGTTCCCGCGGCACGAAGCTCAGAGCGGTTCGATCTGCAGTCGTTTCCCAAAGAGAGGGACGGGGGCTGTGAGGTCTGGCGGTGAGGTCAGGCCACAACAGGGAGAATGTCGTGGAGATCTGTGGACTGGATTAACCATGATTAACCACTTCACCACCATTAATTTGCCCATATTTAAGAGGTTTCTACAGTTTAGTATTTCAATCAATCATGAGTCTAGATTTTGAGGGCACACGTTTCATAACCCTCTAAGATCAGACACTCCGGGTTCATCGGGCAGACGATCCAGTTCGGGTCTGTTCGGGACTGAAACTCAGTTCCCGGACACCTTCACGTTCACGTCCCGTCCACGGACACGTTCACGTCCCCGACCTGAGTCAGGAAGTGAACAACAACTTTTGGGGCAGCCATGCCGTTTGGACTGGCGTGAAGTGTCGCGATGTTCTGCGGCTGTGCGGTCTAGACGTGGATGCCCTGGCACTGGGCGAGAAGCCCATGCCTGCCAAGTATTTGCGCTTGACAGGTGCTGAGGGAGTTGGACGTGACTGAGTGGAGCTGCGTGGTTGCCAAGAACTTCACTCCTTTAAATTTATCAACATGATTTAAACACAACCTGATTGAGAGAGTAATGGAGAGGTTTTAATGGTTGGTTATACCTTGGCTGCCAGCCGATTCAGCTTTTCATGTACGCATGACAAAAATACCTTTAGGGTATTTTAGGGTGGATTAAATTCAAGTCTTTGAGCCGCAATCCTCAGCTTGAATCAAGGCCCTGTACAAACCTCCAGAAACTCTGGACCTGCAAGCAATCCAGCACCAGCTCCTTCAGTTCGCCGAACAAAGATCTGGGATCTCATCCGGGTTGCCCTTGGAAGAACCTGCACGGAACGTTTTTGAGAACGGACGAGTTCAAGTCAGGCTGTGCTGGTTCAGTTCTTCCACAGCGAAACTAGGAAACCTGGAGGATTCAAAAGAGGTGGAAGATTGCCTGAGGATGCTTCCGTGGTCTTCATAGGAACACGGAGTCCTACACTCCCCGAAATATTTATGGAAGTGGGGGCCGCCTGTTTGCAGAGAAAACTGATTATACACGGGGATGTGTAATAGCAAGAACAATGAATTAATATCGACCATTTTGGACCATTTCAGGTCACCCCCTGTGACGAGTTTCGTGCCCAGAAAAATTGGATCCGCAAAACACATATGACCCACAAGTTAGGGTCCAATTTGCCATTAAGCGCGGTGAGGTATTTCGTTGAAGAAGCGTTTCAACTTGAGCACGGTTTCGAGTTTCACCTCCCTGAACATCCATCCGACTCCCTTTCCACATGCCGCCCGCGCGCCAGGGCACGATGCCGACGAGACGGGCGCCAGTTTCGGAGTGACGATTCCCTTGGAAAAGGCTATCGATCCCTTTGGCGATGTACTGCTGGCCACTACCATGAGACTTGGTTTTGGGGCAGAAATCAGGAGGTGTCGTTGGTCAGGATGCTTTGTGGTTTCGGGGCTGGGCACAGGACGCGGCGCATCGGGTAGTCAGCACGCAGCATGGCTATGAAGTCGCTGCGGTGCCATGGCCATGCTGCGGTTTGTCGTGGCCCTACGGTGTGAACGTGCGCCGAAGTGTGGCACTTAAAACATAAGATAGACATCAATCAAGATAACCCGTTGTTCTGCCCGTCAAATAGCTGCTAGCAGCTGCTAGCAGCTGCTAGCAATCTAAACACCACAGGTGTTTGTAAATAGGATTTGTTTCTTGCATGCTTTCTCATCCGTTATACCTAATTATAATCCTACTCCTACTGCGCTTTGGGGCCATGCTGTCGTTTGCGGATCCAACTAACAGGCCTATCTTGTGTGGCAACTGCTGGACGGTAAATTTGATATTGTTGCATGGACCAGCTTCTAAAGGAGAGTCACATATTGGAAGAAAAGGCTTCCAATTTATAACAACTTATGTCCTGCGTGTCCTGGTCGTGTCCTGGTCGTGTGCTACAGGTACGGTGTTCTTTGTGGTTTGCAATATATCAAGTAGCAACGGCTAGTTTTCACAATCAATGTCGACAAACACATGGACTGACACTTGTGTGACTTGTGCGTACCTAGTACCAGACTTGTCAATCAGTTTGTTAATAAGTACAAATTGCAACACCATGCCTCTTGTTATGGCATGGTCTCCCACTCTCCCAGGAATGGCTCCACCCTCCCTGCAGACCACGGCTACCCCGTGCGGGTCTTGGTACCGGGCTTCGCCGGGGTGCGGAACTGCAAGTGGCTGGCGAAGATGGAGCTGTCGGACGAGCGGCTGGTCGGAGGAGCGTTGAGAAGGAACCGGGAGAAGGAACCGGGCCGGGCGGCCAACGAACGGTGATTCCGCAAAGAAACACCATATAAGCTAGCTGCATCCTCCCAGGTTGCATGGTTCAGGGGGTGTCAAACGCATGGACATTCATTGTGAACCAAGTCGTGGTTTGCACTATGGACTGTTACGATCTTGGAGTGTTTGAAACAGGTGTGATTTGTGTGTGTGTGTGTGCAGAACACGTTGGGCGGTTTCTTTGTGGGCGTGGACACATGGCCAGGGACAGGCATGTCTCCGGGGGACGGAGACATGGACTCGGACTGCTGTTGCGTGCCATCGTTTTGTGTTCAAGTTGCAGAGTGATAGGACCCGCGTGAGTCGTCCATGAGTCGTCCATCATTTGAATACACCAACCTGCTGGGCCGGCCATGAGTGGGGCCACCAGAAAAGGTGGCTGTTTTGCTTGCTTCTCCCGATGACGGATGTCACGCGCTTTGAAACGCGTGACATCAAGAAACACCCCCCCTCTTCGGTTCGCTGGTGCACACCGCATGAGTCTACGCCGTCTACGCCTTGTTGCGCCGACTGGGTACACCTTCCGTGCCAGTTGGGAGTCAATGTGCATTTTGGGTGCGCGGGGTGGCGAACCAGGCTCCACAGCAGCCACGTGGACACTCACACAGATGAGGCGTGGTGCGGAGGTGTCCCATACGATCAAGTTTGCGTGGTGCGAGGGTCACAGTATAGGGAAGAAATTACTGTTGTTGGGTTGATGTTTGTTATTCAAAGAGAGTTTTTGCATTGGGGGTTGGGGGAGTCATTGGGTGGTACTGTAGTATGCCATAGACGAAGAGTGACTTTTGGAGTCACAAGTCATGGTATAGAGCTGTGTTTGTTTTGGCTCAGGCGTTCTCCGGGGAGTTTGGCCGGGAACTTGCATAGCCAAGCCAATGCATATAAATTTGGATGCTAGCACCAGTCTGGCGTGTGTTTTTGATCCATTGCCTCAAAGAATTCCTCATGACCCGGGTGTGACCGTGACCTCCCAACATTACCTAATTAGGGCTCCTGGCCTACCTCCGTTTCGAAGATGGTTGGGGTGGGCGCCAGAGGGGTCTAACATGGTCTAACTACCACTTTCTGAGGATATGGGACAGGAGCCCTACCAACAGCTGCCTCTGCGAATGGGTTTTGCATGGTTTTGTTCCTTCTGGTTTTCACCCACTTTGTGAGCCGAGGATATTGCCCGTTGTTCCGGTTTCCCGCTGCAGGTGATTTATCCTCCCAACATGAACTTCGAGGATCACGTCGCCAAGGCCTCTTTCACCGGTCAGGCTGTGAAGCGCGTGGCTCGGCCAATGGAATAAGAGTACGAATGGGTGGCCAAAATCAGGTCCAGTTGCCAGGAGATCTATCTTTCTGAAGTTTTTTTAATTCCAATTCTTAGGCAAGGAGTTCATGGAAGAGTCGCCATGTGTCACCAGTAGCACCAGCTTCGATGTTCCTGCTTGCTGGTGTTGCTTTCCCTAAGCCCCTAAGCCCCTAAGCCCTAAGTCTCGGTGGATCGAGCATTGACCCAAGGTTTCTCCTTTGTCCTTTGCTTCGCTGGAGAATCGATTGGTAGAACCAAAGCTCAGCAAGAACCGAACACTTGACCAAAGGACCCAGTCGCCAGTGCTAACATGTTTCAGGTCCCAAAAACCCAATGAGCCTTTTGCCGCAGTGGGCAGTGGTAGAAAATAGGCTACTGGTAGACCATTTGCTCTACCAACTGGCTTTCCACTGCCATGTGAATGACTCGGGCAGTAGCACTCAGACTTCAAGAGTTGTGCGAACCTCGGGTTCTCCACCCGTGCGAACTCTGCATGGTGACTCAGGCGGGTCGCTGGGAAGGAGGCCAAGACAATGAGGTGTTCAGAGTGATGGAGTCTCGACAAAGGGGGGGGGGGTTGGCATCCCGACAGTGGAAGGATAATTGGAAGGACATGGGCCGCCACTGACCGGGGAGGATGTGTCAAATCCTATGTGGAGACCGGAGTTCAGAGCATGCCCTCCTTGTTGAGGAACCTGTAAAACGGGGTCAAGGCGATCGTTTGGGGTTTCAATCATGGTCGATGGCACAGGCTACAGCGTTCCTTTCAGGATTGGGGGACTCGGGGGACCTCAAGCTTTTGGTGTTTTGCGAGAAGATCATGATCTGAGACTGAGACTTCCATCATGATCAGCTAAAAAAGTACAAGAACATTATATGAGTGCAAAAGATAAACTAAGCATGACTCTAGGACCCTCCAACAGGTCACCACATGCGACTATGTTCAAAAACATCCATTTCGGAGACCTGCTGGAAGGTGCTGGTTTATAAAAGAATATTAAATATAAAATTTATATAAAACAATGTCTTTGGGCTGACCATTACCTTGATTTCTGCCGACTGTGAGACAGCTTTTCTCCCTAGGAGATGCCAGTGCATAGCAGCGTGCTCGTCCCGGAGCTACACAGCGTCGTTGGGAAAGAGGCCATCGCCGAGGCAGAGACCTGACCCCCGCTGGGGCGGTGGCAAGCTGTTGACCCTCCATAGAAGGGGTCGACCCTCTACAACAGGGGTTTGTACCCTCAAGACCCTTGTTTTGAGGGTCCGGGTTCTTAGGGTTGCAAACCTGGTACCGTCGCCTTTTCTCTTCAGTACTTCTGTGTTATTCTCTGGGTGGGGGCATGTGGATGCCTCGAAAGCCGATTGGTTGCTAGTCGTTCTTGGACCAATTTGGACCAAAATCGTTGCGGGCCACGGGACATTTGCCAAATAGGTGACACGCCCCACTCAGGCTGCGCTTCCTACCCAGTAAAAGTGGATATCCTTGAACCTTCTTTTTGAGGATTGGTTGGTTTTCCACTAAACAAGAACAGGTAGAAGCTAGCTTAACCATTGATTTCCAGGAAAACTGAGGGGTCTTAAGACGTTGCTCCTCCAAAACTGCATGTCAAATTCCGCAAAAAGCAGATGAGGGTTCCCAACAGTCGACCAATGGTTTCTTTTGTTTGATTGACCTTTCTGGTCTCTATAGTGTAGGCCTCACACCAAAGTCCTCCAGGAGACACGCGTTCAACACAATTTGGATCATGTCCAAACCTATGAAAAGCCTGAATACATGTTTTTATTGTTATATACGTTTTCAGTAAAATGATGTCAAGCTGACCTGTAGGGCTTGTTTAAGGTGGCATGATGGTCCGGAACCTCCCATACCTACCCAGTCCCATCCCCAAACCATCCATGGGACTGGGCAAAAAAACAGGCCACCCCATTGACTCCAGGTCAACCACCTCAATTGATTCAACATAAATAGGTCACTCCCATGGATGGTCATGTTGACGTTACATTGGAAAACGATTGCGGCGCTGTGCTGTCGTATGAATTTTCCTCATACTGGGTGGAGACTTCCTCTCCATCCAGCTCCTCTCCTCTCCGGTGCCTCGCCACCGTCCCTTTTGGTCCAACGGCCGCGTAAAGCCTTCGCATTCGTGCGGGTCACCCGCCTTCGTGTTCGTTCAGGTTCTGAAGGAGGGCCTTGAGGTGAAGGGCATTGCGCTGGGGGGCGGAGGGCACCGCATCGCTCGTGTGGATGTGTCCATCGACGGCGGGAAGAGCTACATCCCAGCAGATCTGGACGATCACGGCGACTTGGACGTTCCCCTGGTTTTTCAGGGCGGCAAGGCTCAAGACCAGCGGATCAGCGGATGCCCATATGCAGTTGTTTAAATATATAAGAAGTTGTGTTTGGAACATTTTGGAGAGTTGAAAAGGACATGAATGGACAAAGTGACAAGGTATTTTTGTTAGGGTTTGCTCAGTTTGCTCAGACCCCCGCCAAACACACACACATACCGATACCCAAAGACACGGCCAATTTGGTCGCTCACAATACAGTTTGATACAGTTTGCAAGCTGCTTCATTGCTGGACCCGTGTAGCAAAGTCAGATGAGGGCATCGCGTGGTTTTGTGGATGGCACGATCTAGAAGACTGCAGCTTCTGACTTGATTTTGCGAATTGAATTGGAAGTGGAAAACCTCCTGTTTGTACGAGGCAGTTTTTTCAAGGGTCCTGCCATCCACTTCCACGGAACGCGAGTCAGAGGCTATGTCTTTCTGCTTCTTCGGAGTTCCCTCCATGGCACATGGCACGTGGAAATTTGCCGCACAGGCCTCAATGGATGACCTGAGGCATGGAGAAGGTGCACAAGCGGAACTACCACTGGTCCTGGTATTGGTGGTCCAAGAAAGTGCCACTCAGTGAGGAGCTAACTTTTGTTAATATGTGTTTGTCTTTACTGATCTGATGTTTTTGGGTTTGCGGACTGTTCCTGGTCCCAGCCTTCCCATCATCCAACTTCCCAGCCTTTCCCATCCAACTTCCGGCATTGGATCCCTGCCTTTCAGTGGCTCCAGGAGATGAAGCATCAGCTGCTGGCGGGCCAATCCCTCACCCTGCAGGTGGCCTCCCGTGCGATGACGGAGCATGGGAACACGCAGCCGAGCCGGCAGGCCGTGGCGTCGCGTCGCGGGAACAAGACGTCGTTTGTTCGAGGCGAGTCGTGGGTCGTGGGTCGGAACATGGGAAGACATCTATTTTACCCTGGGGCTCCAACCACCTCCTGAGAAGGTGGTTGGGGTGGGTTTGGGGGGTCTAACCACCTTCTGAGTACATCGAAATAGGTGAATCCCATGGCCCAGAGTGCCAAGAAATTCTATGAAATTCACGTACCAAGTAGCCGCCTGAGCCCTGACCCTTGGGCTACATATAATGTTGTAGGACCTCCATGCTGTCACTTTGTTCACCCAGAAATCCCGTTGCCCAAGGACGCCGTGTCCTTGTACAACCTCGTGGGGAACATCTGCAACTACCAGACCCACACGCCGGCTGCTTTGACCTGCCTTTACATGTTTTTACTCACCTTTTTTCATGGGGTGGTTCTTCCACTTTGCGATTCTTGTTACCAGGCAAGCAACGCACAGCTAGGGCTGGTAGGATCATGTGACATCACCAGGCTGGCGACTCTGAGCCAAAGGCTGCTTGCTTCCCACGATCCTAGACACTCCATCTACATTGACCCCAGGTCAACCACCCCAACTGATCGGAAGTCATAAGTAATATACTGTAATCATATGTGCCAGTCTCAGTCTTTGGATGTCTTTGGGGGCATATGTGGAACCCCTATTTTGGGATGGAGGATCCATGAACATGTGTGTCCCTGTTTCCTTTTGTTCTTTTTCCGGGTCTCCTGTTGTGAGTCCTGGTCAGACCGTCAAGGTCAACCTGCACAGGTCCACGGTCGGGCCGCGGCGAACGGACCGCGTCTCAGGTAGTGATAGATCCACGCAGATAGGGTGGAACTGCAAGGAACTGCACCTGCGAAATGCGACAGTGACTGCTTGCGGGATTCAGACTCCTGGGAGACTTCGATGACGATGTTCGAGTGAATCCTGGGGCAATGTGTTTCTTTTTTTAAACAATTAACTTAAGAACGAAGTCTGTGTAAAGTGAATATGGTGAACGTACATGGCACCTGGTGACCGGACAAAATCCTGGAAAAATCCGACTGGTGCCAAAGTACGACGTCCTGAATTTGCTGGATGTACAGTGATAGCAGATGAACAAGTGCTAGGTCAAGCCTCAGACCCCCTTAGCTTTGAATCATTTTGACACTATCTTCTATTACTTGATTTTGATTGACCATTTTTGTGGGGAGCTGTGCCGAGGTTTTGACCAGCCATATCTTTGACAAAGTCTTCTGGCTTGATTCCAAAAAGTTCCACTTGAAGAGGCTAGACATGAGCAGATGAGTCTATTGTGCAGATCAACAGCATGACCGACTCAGAACCAACTCTATTTGGATTAGTGCAAAGCATGAGCTGTATCCGACTCCCGTGGGATGGCCGTGCATCCGACGAAACCATCCGAAACCATCCGACTCCCTCACTGGATGGGACTCAACACCATCCGGGCCACCGGCGGACGCTCGTTTCTCCTCCCGTTTTCCGCGGACAGTTCGGAAAAACGGCGCGTCGTTTTTCACCCCCCGTTTCCAGACCGTTGTTCAGCTCGCAAGACCCGAGAAGAAGGCTCTCACAGTGTGTTCCTAATTACAAGAAGCTACCAGTAACTAAGGGCAGTAAACTACTAGTAACTAGTCGCAAGAAGCTACTCTCTAGGGCTCCAGTCGTACCTCCCCAGAAGGTATTTGGACCCTCTAAACTCACCCCAGTCCCACCTTCGAAACGAAGATCCGACTGGAGCCCAAATGGGACTAGTAGCTCCTGGCATTACTACTATACCCAGTGCATCCCAGGCAAACCACTATCTAAGGAACCAGGGATTCGGAACGTCGAACTGGTGTTAGTCGGAACCACTGGGACTCCCAGCGACATCGTGGGAACTGCCTGGATGTTTTGGGAATAGGAACAAGAGGACGCTACAACCGTCACGGCACGTCGCGTCGGACGGGACTGTTCTTTCGCCCGTCGCCGTCGCCGTCGCCCTGCGTCGCGACGCACCCGAGGCATTGAAGCCTTGAGAGCCCAGGCGGAGGGACCAAGAGGACCAGGTCAGTGACCAGGTCTGCAGGTTTTAGGAGGATGGTTACTTATGGTAGTAGATGAACAGTAGATGCTTGTAGGGACCAAGCTTCACACATTGATGTACATGGTTCTCATTGGTTCTCTTTTTCTGAGAGGCGGCGGCAAACTCTCCGGTCGCTACCGTAGATGAGTTTGATCATACCGAGGATGATCTCTTTCAGCCGAGGATGGCTGGATGACTGGGGGATGATCCCTTTCAACATCATTGGACAGCTTTGAGGAAACCCAACAGTCAACCAAACCCAGGGCCCCAGACCATCGATTTTGGAACCAATGCCTATAGCTATGCCCAGGTCAAGAAAAATGCATGTAGGTCAATAGGCTATGGATGGTCTAGGCATAGGGACATCCCACTGAATAACAGGTTACCACTCAAGTCTGTGGAGCTTAGGGTTTCAAAGTCTATTGAGCCTTTGGGTCTCACGAGACCTTGCAAGTCACTGGGCAAGCCTGGATCCTGTGGGCCAGGGTACCAGGCCTGGAACGATAGATGAAACAGTTCAGATGACCCATGATATACCCCAATCACCGAAAGGTCGCTTGAAGTTGGTTCATGTCCCGAAAAAAGGGTACACCGAAACTGCATGTAGTAGCCTAGTGTTCTCGTTTTCTCAGACAGCCCGGCACACCTCCCGTACATGACATGTCATGTTCTCAGACGCCTCGCAGAGATGCAGGAATCATCCAGGTTCTTGTCAGATGGGTCTCCCAACTTCAAGGATTGCCACGCGAGTGAATTGCAACTGCTTGCCACTTTGCGAACTGCCAGCGAGGCTTTAGGAGTTTGACGGTTTTCAGCCACATCAGCACTACAGTTCAAAGGTCGCGATCAACCTGTGACACGAGTAAGTTCATGAAACGACAGCTCTGCAGAGCTTGGTCCTTTGTTGTTCAAGATCAACTTTCTCAGTTGAATCGCATTGAAGCTACACCCTTCGATCAACCAAGATTTCTTTGTTATATATTAGCCGAATGAGGTGATTCAGTACATTTGCCCACTGATCCGCTCCCCTCCCTTGACCACCCCTCGCTCCGTCTGCTCCTCGCTCCGTTTGCTCCGTCTGCTCGCGTCCGTCTTCAGGCCAATCTGTGGAGCTCCTGTTTGGCGAGAGCCCAAAGCGAGACCCAGGAGGCTCACGTCGCCCAAGGCCAAGTCCAAGAGGCCCGGTGGACACGGACGAAGCCCGCGGACGGACAGGAATAGACCGGTGGTCTTCGGGGTGAAGGGCATGTCTTCGGGTGGAGACGTTGATCGGACGGTGACGGAGGACGGGTTAGACGGGGTACATGGTCTCACATGGTCTCACTTCATCATTGCACAGAATATGCCAGGAAAGCGTCTAAAGGAAGGAGGCTGTTCTGGCCCAGACTAGATGATCACCGGAACGTATGGGTGTACTGGTCCGTCTTTGGTGGGATTCATTCCCAGCTCCATTCCCAGCTCAACATGAAACTCCCGCTGTGACTGCCTCTCGCCTTGAAGGCTCACCCATGCTACTCCCTCTTTTGCTGTCTACGATCCCTTTTGTTCATGAAACGTTCAGTCCGGTTTCTCCATCCGGTCTCGCTCTCCGGTCGCGCTTTGGTCCTTCGGACCATGTACATCCTCAGGGGATCAGACCGGTTGGCGCCATACCCAGTGGATCGACTGGGAAGCGACCAAGAGATTGGAATCACTTGAAAACCAACAAAAGTAACACATGTCGGAAACTAAAACACCAAATATATATATATATATTTTTAAGTGACTGACCTGACATGACCTGACTCTTAATTCTTAACACGTTTATTATACTGTCTTGTAATCTCTCAAAAGGAGTACTCTTGCCCAAAGAGTTACGTGTTCTTTGTTCAGCTCCACTGGCTCCACTGCTATGTCAGTCCGCTTGAGGATGGAAGTTTCACGTTCTGGCACAAACCAGAGGCTTTCATTTGTCTTCCATTCTTTTCCACAAACCATGGAGGACCATGGAGGACCCTTTCCTCCGCCAAAACTCCCGGACACCACACCACCCGCGGCGTCAGGACCTGGCCACGTTTGCTCGGCGCCTGGAAGATGCCTGTCGGGGGCACCTGGGGGCCCTGCCACCGCGCGGAGTCCTCCGCGCTCGACGCCGCGCAGACACCGGATGGTCTGTTTGGGGACAGCATCGGTGACCCGAGCTCTGGTATTTGTTGGGACGAAGCAGTGGTGGTGGAATGTGACAAAGCCCGGGTGGATGGGGACGAGATCTTTCTGGGGCACCTCACCCAAGGTCTTGAATCTCGGGAGGCTTGTCCTAGTGAAAGCAAGATGTAGGACAAGAACGCTGTAGCACAAAGATGCATTTGCGTTTAGGTCATGATTTGAGACAGTTCCAACCCTTTGGGCCAAGAATGGTTGCGAGAATCCATCTTGAATCGAGCCTGTCCGGTTTCAAAGCCTACATGGCAATGTGCTTCCATGTTGTTTTGCATTTCAGTGACTGATCATTTGGTGGTTGAGGAACAAATTGGTACAGTGCTGTCCAAAAAGCAGATCCTTTTCAACCAGGCAGCGAAGCACCTTTTTACTGCGTTATTTTTCCTTGATCAGGTCCAGGTTCGTACCCATGCGTGCATTGCCCATACCATCCCATTTTCCCGTCCCTCGTTAACAGTCATGGGTACGTGAATGGCCCTGCCCCTGAGAAGACACCACTGACTTCCATGGGAGTTGGAAGGAGGGTATCTTGAACCAATTTGAACCATGTCAATCTGTTAGCACTCTTCACGGCTCGGCTCAGGTTCGGAGCTCAGAGAAGAAGGCTCGGCTATGCTCGGCTTGCGGTTTGAGTTTGGGGCGCAAGAATCCAGGAGGTCAGGGTGGGTGAAGAAAAGACATCAAGTCAAGTATCTCCTGTGTTCCTTCCCATCACCGGGTGATGTTGTGCTGGGTGATGATGGTTGATGTTTTGAACTGGTTTTTGGGCTGGGGAAAATCCCTTGCAACAGGTAGAGGTTGATTCACCGGTGGGATCGGGTAACCATGTTGAGACGGTGCATGCATGTTCGGTTCATGTTTCTGGATGCCATGGCCCAGTTTGCCCTTGATCACATTCAGCGGTTGGAGTGTCGTAAGGTTGGAGAGAAACCATCGTATGGTCATAATCCCGTCACTTGGGGTCTAACAGTCAGTGATTCTTAGGTACCTGGTTCCTCAAAGTGACCCACACTGAGATCCCAGACTTCTTGGTCAGTGAGGCTTCTAATTAAGGGTCACTTCTATAGGGACCCTCAAGTCAAGTCCACGAACTGAAGAAGCGGGCATACGGCATAACTAATAGCTATATTGGGCCTCCAACCTGAGAGCGATGGCCTCCAACCTAATAGGACTTTTTCCACTCTTGGTTGTCATATGCATGTATCCAGGTTTTGCAGGTGTGGTTTCTAAAGCTTTGGAGAACCGCTTGATTGAAGCTGAGGATGGCGGGTTGGTAGGAAATGGTTTTTGCCGGGGCGTTTCCTCCAGAACCAGAGAGAATTGGGTGTGATTTGTGTTGTTCCTGCGAATGAATGAAATGCTCCTTTTGTGCGACAAATTCATACATGAACAACGTTCAGCCTAACCATATCGTATGCATTCGATTATTATGTTGTCCTCTATGATATCGGTGGTATGTAGTATGTGAAGAGATGTTTTTCAACGGGCAGCGCGGGGGAGAGGCGTTTTCTGTTTGTTTTTTTGGGATCACCGGTAGTGTTGCGAACTGTGGTGATGGCTCCTCAGATCGAGGTTCGCTCTCCCAATCAAGACCCTGAGGAGGAACCACTCTTTAGTGTGCGACCTTTGCCGAATCACAATGCACTAACCCACCTATAGGTGGGGCCTATGGTAATTTGGATCTTCAAACACCTTTATGTTGGTCATGGGACGTCAGAGTTTGACTCAGGTACCACCGGCGGCACTGCCAGCGAGGAAAGCTTGGCCCAGCGCTTTTCACAGGAGTGGGTTTTTGTTTCTTCAGACCATGAAGCACTGGGCCAAAGGGGTACATCAAATACTTGTTTCAGAGTAGATGTCCTGGACACATGGGGG